TGTATTGAGTATAAGAATACAAGGGAATATATATACATCTAACTCTAGGTTAAACTAGGATGCTAAACCAACGTGGAACATTAATATATAGGGGTAATGGCAAATAGGCCCATGACAAGGCCACTTGATTAAAAGAGGGACATCCAATTTTTTTGTCTTTCAAATAAATCCAACCCATTCAAACTTATTTGCAAATAAAGAAAATCCTTTCATATATACCAAAATTACCCCCAATTCATTGAAACTCAATTCAACTCCAATTTCATGATTTACACCCCAATTTAGCCCAATTTCATCAATTAACCAATTTTAAAAATAATTTCAATTTTGATCCCAATTTTAACCCTAATTCTTATCAATTCCACTCATTACGCTCTAACTTCCTTAATATTACACATTGACCCCGGATTTAAACAAATATATCACATTAAACCCCAAAACTTTTTTTTTGCAGAAAATAATTTTTTTTCTGAAATATTTTTTTTTTCCGGCCAGATTCCGGCGTTGACCGCAGGAGACCGCCGGTCTCCGGTGTTGACTTTTTTTTTTTATATAATTTTGTTTTTTCTTAAAAAAAATATTTTAATTAATTTTACTGTCTTGGCTGCTAAATTACTGTCTCCGGCAGCTATTTAACTGTCGGAGACAGTAATTTAACTGTTAACTGTTTTTTTTTTTTTTCTTCAATTTTTTTTAATTAATATTACTGTATTCGTTGCTAAATTACTGTCTCCAGTAGTTATTTAACTGTCGGAGACAGTAATTTAACTGTTAATTGACTTTTTTATTCTTAAAAAAAATATTTTTAATTAATATTACTGTATTCGTTGCTAAATTACTGTCTCCGACAGTTATTCAACTGTTGGAGACAGTGATTTAACTGTTAATTGACTTTTTTATTCTTAAAAAAAATATTTTTAATTAATATTACTGTATTTGTTTGCTAAATTACTGTCTCCAACAGTTATTTAACTGTCGGAGACAGGAATTTAACTGTTAATTGGCTTTTTTTCATTTTTTTTCTTAAATTAAAATATTTTAATTAATAGTACTGCCTTAGATGCTAAATTACTGTCTTCAACAATAATTTAACTGTCTTAGACAATAATATTAATAATATTACTGTTCGGAAAAATAATATTCATAATATTACTGTTCGGAAAAAATAATATTCATAATATTACTGTACCAAACAGTAATATTACTGTCTGAGACAGTAATTTAGTAGTTAAAACAGTAATATTAATTAAAATATTTTTATCTAAGAAAAACAATTAAAAAAAAAAAGTCAACGGTTGTTGACCGGCCGGAAAAAAAAAATCAGGAAAAAAAAATCTCAAAAAAAAAAAAAAAAAGAAAAAAGTCAACGCCGGAATCTGGCCGGAAAAAAAAACATTTCAGAAAAAAATTATTTTCTGAAAAAAAAAATTTGGGGGTTAATGTGACATATTTGTTTAAATCCGGGGTCAATGTGTAATATTAAGGAAGTAAGAGCATAATGGGTGGAATTGATAAGAATTATATTATTGAGGGTATTTTAGACTAAAGACATGGGGATGGGCTTAATTGAGAGACTGTTTTTTTTTGTGGACTAAAATGCATTTAAGTCCCATGTGATGGACCTTTTTGCCATTTGCCCTAATATATATACACTATGTATAACAATAAGTGAATAAAATGCTCCAAATATAATTATTGTTGCTATTTAAACTATAATAAGGTGGGCTAAAAATGAATTACATAGGCTAATTAGACTAAAATGATATTAAAATAGGATTAAAAAAAATTGAGTGAAGGTGGGCTTCAGCCCACCCAACACTCAACATAGATCCGCCCCTGCTAGCTAAAAAAAATGGCATTTCCTACTCTCGTGTCTTGCAGTGTTCAACCTTTTTACTATATTATCAGGAAGAATAATTTTCCACTTGTTTCTCTTTTCTCTTCTTATTATCAACATATTCATCAATTTTGCTCTAAGACCATCTCCAATGGAGATGGGGATGTGAGGATGGATGTGGGTTGGGTATGGGTGGGGAGAAGGGAGGGGAGAGTTTGCCTTGAGCTTGCCCCTTCCAACTCACTTGCTAGAAGGGAGAGTGTAATTAACTCTCTTCCTTTTCCTTTTTTTTTTTTTTCCTTCCTTTTTCTTCTCTCTTTTACATGTAAAATTTATTTATTTTTTATTTTCTTTGTATTTTGTATTTATTTTTTATATTATATTGTATCATTATTTTATTTTATTTCATTTATTTAATTACATAATTTAATATCACATAATTTCAATAAAATCAACACTTGTAAATAAAAACTTTTAATATTTTTTTATTTCTTTTCTTTTATTTTTTTATTTCTTTTTAAATTATATCTTTATTCGTAATTTTATTATTATTTTATGTTTCTTTATTTGATTTTATTTTGTTTCTTTATTTAATTTTATTTTATTTTATTTTTTAATATATTTCTTTTATAATCGTAAAAGTTAGAAAAAAACCCAAAAAAACGATTATTTACTTTGTATTATAAATTTGAAATAACTATATAATTTTAATAAAACCAAACACTTAATTCGTAAATCAAAACTTAAGTAAAATTATTACATACTTCCATTGTGTCTTGCCCACACATGAGCTATTAAATCACTTTTTTTTTTCAATTATTGAATTAGTTGAAAACTATCTATTTACTTTTATTTGAATATTGCATTATTATAATTATATTATTATTATTATTATTATTATTATTGTTATTATTATTATTATTATTATTATTATTATTATTATTATTATTATTATTATTATTAATTATTAGTACTAATTATTATTGTTATTCTTGTTATTGTGGTTGTTATTATTATTTTATTATTATTATTATAATGGTGAGAGTGGGGATTGGAAAAAGAGTAATAAAAGACCAAACGATTGGAAACGATGTAGGTAGAGGGAGAGGGAGGGGGAGGGGGGAGGAGAGGGGGATGGGAGGGGAAAACCCCCTCTCCATTGGAGATGCTCTAAGTCATCTAACAAATGAAGAAAGGCTTAGGACTAAGCTCAACTATCGAGTTATTGAAATACTCGGCAATGTTATTAGTCACATGATCATGCTTCAATCTCCTATCATATCCATATCTAGACTATAACTCTGGTGGAATATACAAATGTCAAAATAAGCCCTAACACTAAGTTCTTTAATTTTGTACATGGCAAAGTTAAAGTTTAGTGTATGACCTAACAACTTTCGGATACCATTTTTTAAGGGACGCTAGCAAAAGAACTTCTAAAATTTGAACAAATGTGTGATGCACATTTTCTATTAATCGCATGAGGGACTATCTTTGTTATTGCCTCCACCGGCCCGTACAATAAATTAAACAATTAATTGGATCATCAAAAATAGTACATGAAGGTTTTACAAGAAACAGTGAAAATAAAACTGACCTTTTGCATGTCGGTCATTAAGTATTATTTACTTAATGGACATATTGTGAAAGAAAAAATCTCAACTTTTCTTTGACTAAACCTCTACTATAACAAATGCTACTAGATACAATCCATTATTTGAGTTGAACCCTATTGCTGAAAGGAGCACACCACCATAGGGCCCCTTCAAATGGTATCCATCAAAATTCTCGTAAAGAGAGAGCAACCATTCAGAAATCCACCCTTTGGTGCAGCCGGTCCTAGAAAAAATCTTTTGAATGTTGGACCCCGAGGGGTTGAAGAAGCATTGTTTTCACCATGTGCAACGTCACATTGTAGTATGATGACACTACCTGGATTGCTCTGTTGCACCATCACAACATATTGATTGTGTCTTAATGCATTATTTATAATAAAGTTTCATAAACAGGTGTTGTCGCCTCCCCCTAAAAAGAAATCGTCTTCACATTCTTAGTTAAAAACTGTAAATATTCACTTACTTTAGCAATTTTTAAGGAATCGATCTAAAAAAATCGGTGATGCTGCCCTTGAAACCTCGATTTTTTAAACTTAATTTTTGTTACATTTTTTTCACGAAAAATTTGCCCGCCCTAATGTGAAGGTCTAGATCCGCCCCTGGCGCAGACCATGTACCAAATTTAATGGATCTGTAATTAGTTAACTAAAGTTACATCTATGTTACCAACAAAGCTTTGGTGTGATTACCATGTCATTGTTCATATTGCCTATATATAGTCCGATATACCATAGAACGACCGTGCACGACTCAAGGTGATTGTAACTTTATCCGTTTGAGAAGCAAGTAGGTATATTTCTTTCCTTTTTCTTTGTCTTTTTCCTTTTTGAAGGGAGTGAGTAGGTATTTTCACAGCTTACCCTTATGAAGGCTCTACTCGATGGAAATCTCAACTCTCGAAGTCATTGACAGCTGGAAAGAATTCCTCACTCAATCGGACCAAACCACCTATTGGATGGCTTAAAGTGAATTCAGATTGTTGCGTTAAAGACGGGCTTGCCACTTCATCCTTCATTGTCCACAACTCCGCTGGTTCTATTATCTACGACCACTCTAACGAGTACTTTTGCATGAACGCGCTTGTTGCTGAAGTTTTTGCTCTGAGAGATGCATGTGTCTTTTTCAACGCTGCTAAGCTGAAGAATGTTATTTTTTAAGACGACTCCCTCAACGTCATAATAATATATTCTTTTTCTTATCAAAAAACGAGAGTAGGTATTTTCACTAGGGCACAATACGTTTGACAAAGACTTTATTCCGCCATTGAAGACTTTAATCTGTAGATTCACCATTGACTACTGCTCCATCGAAGCTTTTGCTTTACCGAATTGCACTACCCATCACAAAATATCATTTTGAAGCATTCTTCCAAAATTAAATCGTGATAAAATGGGTCAAGTGAAACCCGAAACTTGTGAAAGTCAGTTTTCAATTTTTCATTTTCCACTAAATTATGTACATTACAACATTAACAAAAACCCTTAAAAATAAGCAGTTAAACATTATACTCAGTTCCAAAAAAAAAAAAAAAAAAAAAAAAAAAAAAAAAGGAACAATGAACTCTAAATACTGTATATCTTCAATGCATAAATTCCTACATCAAGATTAATGTTACAACTGAAAATTATGTTACTTTTTTCGGTTGGGCATAGATTAAAAGATCAACAAGGGCATATCCTAAAACTAATACATAAATACATCTCTAAAAGAAAAGAAAAAAAAAGTCATCTTCCTCTTATTTCGTTTTTAGGGAATCAAGCAAGGTATTTGCAATTACCGGTACCTGAAATAGAAAACAAAGAGGAGATTAAAAGAAATACGATGGGCAGAATCTACGGCAAAACATGATAAGAGTACGTTAACTACAAACCGCCCATCAAATTTTGTCCAAGAATTCTCTACTTCGTAGATATTTTTACATTGAACAACAATAAGTAACAAAACTTCACAGGTTTTCCACAGATTTTCACCAAGGAAACATAGACGCTACGATGAATCCACATAATTGAAAATTAATTAATTATAAAATATTGGTGCATAATCGTTAAACACTAAGAAATTTTAGAGGGAAAAAAAACATTTGAGCTTAGGCATATTTATAAAAGAATCCAGCTAAACATGCAAGCTATAAACATGTAACTAGATTTGATTAAAAAAAAAAAATGTGCCTCTCTGACAAGGGTCTTGTGAAACAACAAAATTTTTCTTTCTAATTAATAAAATTCACCCTAATAAACTTAGATTTATAATGCGGCGTCATTCCAAATAAGGTGGTTAGAATTCAAGAAGCACTGAAATGATGAACGAATTCTATTCACATAACTATTGTTTTGTAATGAGTTCAAATGAATTGTCAAATTAATAACTAGTCATTTATCTCATAATAAAGAAATTAGAGAGAGAGAGACGTACTGGGATCGGTAGAGGTGATTAAGCCGGAACCAGAGAAGTTGCAATTGAAGTCGTGACGGCCCTCGCGCTGATAAAAAGCATTCATTACAAATGAAGCGTGAGACCTAACGGTGTTTGGATCGAAGCAAGCACCGCCAGGCTGGATGGGCCCACAGTCCACTCCTTGGCTGCAAACATAGTCTATATTTTTCTGTAATTCACTATCAGATGCCTCTGCTTTTGGCACACACCACTTTTTCCCGTCTTGTGCTGGTGTTGGTCTTTTAATAGGCTGCACATTTATATATATAGAGTTTAACATCTATAAATTGATACAGTTGGGACGCGCAAAATTCTATTAATTTAGCGAAATATTAAATTATCGAATTAATAATTTAGCATGTTGTCACCGAGTCGGCACCAGAAAAAAGTTATTGTTTAAGTTAGGTTATTAATTTATGGAGGTTCTACTGTAAGTAGAATATATATGATTGTGTGTTACTAATCTATGATGAAACATACTAAATGAATGTCCCTTCTAATTATACCATGCTCAGTTTATTTTCATGCTCATATTAATTACAAAATTAGTGTTATTCATAATTTTATTTTATCTGAACATTTAAAAAAAAACTCAATTTAGGAAGATTTAGTATCATATAAGACACTTAAAATTGGTTATAAGTCTGAATATATATGTCGAACAAGCCCACTAATATTTTGTACACTACAACCTTGTTTGGTTGCTAAGATTAGCCGTGATTGATTAAATAGTTTGATCTAATTAATGATCAACTCATCTAAAAGTTTAAACCTTTTAACGAGGTATATCATTTAATATTTATATTTCAAACAATGAAATCTTAGGCAATGTTTGGAACCATTTCCATTTTGTTTTCATTGTTTCCCCAAAACAAAATGAAATTTATTACACTTTTCAAATAATTTTCTCAAAATAATTTCAAAAGTTTCTCTCTCCTTCAGACACTTCAGACATGATGTGACTGCTACAATAAAATGATGTGACTGCTACAGTAAAAAAATGTCTTCACTAAAAAACAAATAAACATCACTTTATCTTTCATTTTTTTCTTCAAAAATACCTTTTTCTAACACATTTAAACATGATTTGACTTCTACAGTGTATTTTGTCTCCTTCCAAAATACAAACAAACATTACTTTCATTCTCAAATTATTCCCCCAAAACATATTTCCTCAAAATGAAATCAAAATAAGATCCAAAACGCTTCCAAGACAAAAATAAAAATAAAAAACAAATTTAGTTTAAAGAGGGTGAAGTGATTGAAATTGGCCAACCTATTGTGCATGAATTGGATTTTATGGAAAGCACAAGGCAAAGTTTAGAATAATATTAAATAAATGCAGAGGTGGTACACTGGCACATGCCACATGGTATCGGAGTTTGGAAAGATGACACAGAATAAAGCAATCTGCATAACAACTCCAACCACACAATATTCAAACCATCTTTTTTCATCTTTTTTATTACTACTTATATTTCTTTATTCTTTTTCAATGTTATTCTCTCAATTAAAATAATAAAAACTATGCCCACTAGTTCTTAACGGCTACTTTTACATAATTTTTATAAAATATATTTAAAACCTCGAATCAATCTAAATTCATTTGTCAATTTATGTATCTACTTAACCCCGTATGCACATTTCACTTCAGATAGTGAGTTTGCAGCAGGGCTTATTATATTAATCAGTGAACTTTTGCGATTATTAAATTTTTTTATTTTCATTTAGGATAAATTACTAAAAGCCCGTGAACTTAGCTAAATAACGAAAAACACCCTCACATATCCGTTATAACCAAAATTCCCCTCTGACTAACCAAAATGGTACATTCTATTATGCCTTATGTTAAATAGGTGTAAAAGAAAATAACTCCTTGGAATAAAAAAAAAAATCGATGAAAAGTCACACCGTAAGTGATTGGCGTTGGTGTAAGAAGGTAAAAAAACTTAGGGGGTTTTTGGTAATTACAAATAGGTGGAGGTGGTTTTCGTAATTAAATCTAAGTTCTAGGGGGGTTTTCGTAATTTACTTCAATTTATTAGGAAATTGTATGTATTGGAATTATCTCGTATAACTGCACAAATAATATACAAAGATTGTATAATTGTTAACAAAGGAGACCTTTATGCAGAAATTGAAGAGTGACAATAGAAATAAATACCTGTACAGGAGCAGCAGTAGATCCCACGCGCATAATACCAGCGTCATAAGCAGGGGTGAAATCGGGCCGAAAAAGCCCGAAATTCTTTTCGGACAAAGGGCCCGATTTAAGATTCTCATTGAACAGCCCGAATATGTAAGTCTCCAATCTCTTTCTAGGCATCAACGGTGTGCCCCGACCCGAATTGTACTTCCTAACAAGACCACCATTGTACGCCGCCGCATTCTCGACGGAGCATCTCGGCCGCTCGAAGCTCTCCCCGAGAGACGACCACCCAGTTTCACCAATGGCGATTTCTACATCGCCGTACCCTAATTTTTTCATGGAGATGTAGACAGCGTCCATCAGCATGTCGAACATGTTTCCGTAAGTTCTTTTTGTGTATCTGTCAAACAATCCTTTGTTGGATCCGAATACCGAGAAGTTCGCGTGCTCCGGGCTGTACCCGAAATACGGGTACGGGTTCACCATGAATGGGGATTTCGTCTCCCGGTGGAACTGCAGCACCGGGGCGAGCACCCCCTTGTCCCAGCCTGGCCGGAACTTGGCCAGGCTCGGCGGCTCCGACGATTCGAGGATGCCTAATGAATGGGCGGTGGTTACTATGATGTCGGTGATGCCGGAGAGGGAGAGGGCGGTGTGGAGTGACCTCATGGCGGAGACGAGGTTGTCGACGAGGTTCTGTGGGCCCCAGTGGAGGATTTCGTTGCCGACGAGGATGTAGTTGATTTTGGTTTGGGGGTGGAAGGGCTGGATGTTGGCGGCGACCCAGCGGCGGGCGTTGCCGGGGTCGGTGAGGGAGGGGATTTCGCCGTTCGGGACGGTGACGGCGACGAGTATTCCGGTGCCGGAGAAGGCGCGGAGGATGTCGGGGTTTGCATCGAAGATCTTTATTCGGTCGATGGTGGTTTTGTCTTTCAGGAACTGGGCTACCTGAGCTGGGGGTGGGAGGTTGTCCCCCATGGTGCCGTAGTTCACACCGATGGACTCTACGGCGGCGATGGCGGCTAGGAGGAAGAGGGCTGCGGCGGCGTAAGGTGAAACCGCCATGGAAAGTAATTTAGAGAGGATGAAATGAATTTGGGGACAAAAGGTGGCAATAGAGAAATGGGTTAATACTTAAAAGAGAGAGAGACTATTGAGGCCGAGAAAACGCGTATTGGGATTTGGGACTGAAGACGGAGTTGGAAAAATGAAGCACAAGTACATTAGAATTTAGAAGCATGTATTAAATTTAAATGACATCCTTCGAAAATATAGATTCGGTGTGAAAAGTCGACACCAAATCCCTAATTTACGCTTTTTTAGTTTTTATTTTTGAAAAAAAAAACAATTAGGGTGAATTTGACCTAGCCCCAAAAATTCAAGTTTCGTTACAAATAGACTCATTATTAATACTGATGTGGAGGCACAATTTAATCATGCAGACACTTTTTTTATTATTCTTGAAAAATCAAAAGGTAAATTTCCACAAAAACTCTCTCAAGCTTTTGGACTTCAATTTCAGATCCCGACCGAGACGATAACAGATCGGAGGTAATTCTTACATTTTTTGATTGTTTCGTTACGTAGATTACGATTTTTGATTTTTTTTTTTAAACTGAAGCATTTTGTTTTACTCGCGTGATTCTACACGAGTACAGTGGAGTTACTCGTGTAGAACCACGCGAGTAGATGAATGTAATTTTTTTTTTTTTTTTTTATGTTTTTTATTGAAAAAAATAAAAAAAAAATTGAGGTCGTGTGTTATTATGCGAACAGGGGGTTTGTGCTCGTGTGAAACCGCGAGCTCAGTTCATCGAGCTCGCATAAAATCACACGAGCTTAATTTTTTTTTTTTTATGGCTGCTCGTGTGAAAACATGCGAGGAGATCTATTTTACTCGCGTGCCTGCACGTGAGTAAAATTGGTCTACTCGCGTGTTTTCACACGAGCAACTTTTTTTTTTTTTTTTAAAGTAAATCATAATTCAGTTTTTTTGTTAAATTGTAGATGGCCGGAGGTAGAGGGAAAAGTTTAAATGAGTCAAGTTACGGGAAAAAGGTAAAAGTTTAATGAAAGCTTTGGGTCGGTAGTCGAACAATCCGGATGATCCGGACCGTATTGGAGATCGGGGAGTTCTTGCATCCGATCGTAGAAGGAAAGCGACGACAAGAGAATAAGCAAAGAGAGCGAGGAAAGAAGCTACTGCAGTCGGAGTCGGGCCTTAATGATCTTCAAGTCGGTCATGTTCGTACTCAATTGCAGTACGCGTCGGATGATAACAAGGAGATGGTGGCTAATGATGACGGCAATGATGACGAGGAGATGGTGGATAATAATGACGGCAATGATGATCATGATGGCGGGGAGCCGACACGTAAAGGTGGTCGTGGCATAAATTTTACAATTTTGGATGGTCCGCCGTATTTGGAGGGTCCGTGCGAGGGAGGGTTGGAAAATTTGGAGTTTATGCGTTGGTTCAAGTCGCATATAGCGATCTATGTTTGGGATGCACATGTAAGTTTGTTTTTAATACGTGTTTTATATATTTTTATAATTTGTGTTTTTCGCTATCTAATAAATGCAATTAATTAGGAACGTCGTGCTACTGGACGGGTCGAGTCAAGAAATAGAGCACTGGAAACCTACCTCGGCCCGCAGGATGACATGATGATTAACAGGTTGGAGGCAACCGGGCTTTACCATTTACGACACTGTTGTCTCCCCAATATGAATCAACAATTAATGTTAGCGTTCGTTGACAGGTGGCAGCTGGAGACGAACAGCTTCCACATGCCGTGGGGAGAGATGACAATCACGCTCCACGACGTTGCTTTCATCATGGGGGTGCGAGTGGACGGACCGTTAGTGGCAGAAGTTTCCCAAGCATTAGAGTGTTCCCAAAGTCTTGCATCTCTGTTGGGGCTTAGGGTTATGACTACGATTGACATGTTTCAAAATAAGGGAATTAATTGGACAAAGGTGCAAGAGCTCTTGAGCAAGCTATCTGCCACGGACGAGAAGAAGATGCAAGGATATCTGATGTTTCTACTGGGGTCGGTTTTGTTTGTAGACAAAACATCTTCGATGATGAAGCCGTGGTGGATACATTATACGAATGATATCGACGGAGTCGGCCAGTATTCGTGGGCTGCGGCTTGCTTAGCAAACATGTACCGACAATTAGGTATTGCTACCCGCGCTGGGATGAACGAACTTTGTGGGTGCCCGATTCTCTTTCTGGTAATTATATTATTATTTTCTAACTTTTTGTTTATTTATTTATTTTTTGTACAATATTTGGTGTTTTTAATATGAACTGTGGTTTTTTTTTTTTTTTTTTTTTTTTTTTCTTGCAGTGTTGGATATTTGAGTATTTCCCTTGCTTTCGACCAGAGGTTTCCCCGACATATACAGAGTTCGAGCTTCGGTGCAGAAAGTGGGCCTTTGGCGGTAGTTGTAGGCAGAAATTGCAATATTATCGAAAGATGCTCGACGAAATGTCAGAAAGAGATGTAAGTTAGTTTGTAATTTAGATAGAGCATGCGTTCGTAATATGTTTTTTCTAACTTGTGCCAAACTTGTATAGGTTCACTGGACACTATACGGGGCTGATGCACATTACCAGATTCCTCGTAGTATGTATTCCGGTATTATACAGTTCATGGAAATAGTGGAGCCATACATGCCAGACCGTGTTATACGGCAATATGGCAGAATCGAGACAATCCCATTTCACATTATCGAATATGCTGAGCCCCACCACCGCGGTATGTATGCTAAGGACTACAAGGTGACATTTCACGCACCCGGCGGCATGTGGGAGAATGAAAACGCCAACTTCATTAACTTATCGAACTACGAGGAAGCGTGGCCTCCTGAAACAGTTCATCCGAACTATATGAAGTGGTATGTGAAACGTACGCACCAGTATTTGTGCAACCCCACAAGAGCGTCAGCTTCAGTTCAGCCCGTTGTTGCCCCCCCCCCCCCCCCCCCCCACCAGATCAGCCGTTTGCGAACGAGATAGTTCGTCTCCTATTTCCGATAGTGTACGGACAGAATGGGCTTGATGCGGCAGAACAATTTATGTCAATCCAGCCACAATTACTTGATTTGATGATGCCCCATGCTTAGTATCTCCATCTTGTATCCTGGAGGGGGAGGGGTCGTGGGGGACCGAGGACTAGGGGTAGGGAATCAAGGGTTAGACAGTAGGATGGTTATGACAGTTGTTTTTTATTTTGACTATTATTTTCCATTTTCATTGGTTCTGTACTAGGATGATTGTTACTCGTTTTTCTATTTTGATTGTTTGGAACAATTACTTGTTTTTCTGTTTTTATTGTTTTGAACGATTACTCGATTTTCTATTTTGATTGTGTTGGACGATTACTCGATTATCTATTTTTATTGTGTCAAAAAATTACTCTATTTTCTATTTTGTATTTTAAATATGATTAAAAAAAAATTGAACTCGCGTAGTTTTACGCGAATAGAGACCTTGTACTCTTGTAATTCTACGCGAGCAAAAGCTCTCTGTTCGCGTGAAACTACGCGAGTACAATTTTTTTTAATTATTTTTTTAATGCAATTTAATTTATTATTAATTAAAAAAAACTCACTCGCATGATTTCACGCGACCAGGGATGTTTTGCCCGAGTGAAATCACTCGACCAAAACTTCTCTGTTTGCGTGAAATCACGTGAGTAATATTTTTTTTTAATATATTTTTACAACTTATTATTACTATTATTTATAAAAAAAAAAAAATAAATTGTGCTCGCGTGATTTTACACGAGCACCGACTCAGGTCTCGCGTGATTTTACACGACCACTGAAAAGGTTCTCGCGTAAAATAACACGAACAAAAAAAAAATTATTATTCACCTTCTCGTGTGATTTTGCACGAGCACATGCCATGTGCTCGTGCAAAATCACACGAACACAAGAAAAAAATAAAAAAATCAAGTAGTCGTGTGATATTACGCGAGTACATGGCATGTGCTCGCGTAATGTCACACGAGTACTTGAAGATTCGAGAAAAAACGAAAATATTACCTCTGGGTCTGTATTTGTTGGATCCATTTCAGAAATTGTTGAATATCTAATTTTTTTGCAATGAATGTTGAAATTCGATTTTTAAAGGATTATAGGATTTAGAAATAAAAATGTAAAATGGTAAAAACTTAAAGTAAAAAAGTAAAAAGTTATGGTAAAAAAATACCTGTTCGCCAAAATAGCGCATGGGTATATAACCACCCTTATTAATATTTCATTTTAAATAGGCCCACTTACACTTGAGTTCCCAAAATATCCCTGCTAATTTCATTTGAGATAAGCAAAACAAAAACACGTACAATTACATCGTCCCTCCTACACCGGTTTACCCCAGCATTTTCATTCTCTGCTGCAATTTCCTCCGAGTATTTTTGTATCTCGTCACTACAATTTTTTTTCTCGTTTTGCTTCTAGAACCTTCCAGTGGTCGCCACGATCAGTGGAAGTGCATTCGTCACCACTTCGCTTCATCTCCACTGCGATTAGAGTTTTTATTCGAGTTTCTGTCACTAGGGATCTATATTTTAAGGCTCCTATTATATGTCCATACAACACATACACTATAGATATTTGAACCTCCGACCTCTCACCAAACACCAATATACTAGAAGAGGCTCTTGATAACACTAGACTAAACCCTAATTAGTTAAAATTGTTCTGAGTGACTATTATTGAAAAAAAATTAAAAAAAAAAATCTATAAGTTTGATATTAAGGGCTCTCCAATAGAGTAAGTAAAACGGGTCTCTAAATTTCGTTTTAGAAACTCAGTTAAAGACTCAGGTCTCTAAAAAAAATGTCATCTTCAGTAAGTAGTTCTATAAAATCAATTTTATGTATTAATTTATAAAGTATATTTAGTTATAACCAGATTATAGTTTAATTTTGTACCTAATTTCCGATGGTTATTTTTTATTTGCATTATCTCTATTTTTTAATATATATCTTATTTGGGAAAAAAAAAAGTTTTTTTAGTTTTTGTATTTTCAATAACAAAAATAAATATTTCCACCATAAAATGAAAGTTTTAATTTTCTAAACATTTTTTATTAATTTATCGTCGGACCACTTTAAGTTAGAGCATATGCAATCCCAAATTTAGGAAAATAGTTAGAAACTTTTAAGAAAATATTTAAAAACATAGTCTACATTTTAGATACAGTTTAAGACCTCCATTAGTTTTGAGTTTAAAATTTCTAAAATATGGTGACTCATCTGTTGTAGGGACTCATCAAAGACGCGCTAAGTTTTTAAATTTATCATTAATTTGAGACGCCTCTAAAACTTATAGATCTTATCTACATTTGATAATTTGCCAACTCTTGGAAGAAATAAATTAATGAAAAAGTTTAAGAAAGACTACTACGTTACAGCTGTCCGATACGATTCTTGAAGATGATGAATGTACTGAATGTAGGCCAAATGAGTCAAAGTGTCAGGTGGCACGCATTAAAATATTTAGACAACAAAAAGGTAAAGATATGGTCGGTGTCCGGGAGTTGTGATGCGGTGGCATTTAGATTGCGCTCGTCTCATTTTTCACTTTATGTTATTTTAAAAGGTAAATTACAACCAACCTCTGAGGTGCTTTGTACAACTTACACTTGGTGAAATATACCATATGATTTTAAACTATAGATTTATATATAATAAAACACACACTCATGTGTATGTGTACTTAGTGGGTAGTTATTTATATAGATCTACGGTTTAAAATTACATAGTGAATTTTACCCGGTGTAGGATCTCAAAAGCCCCCTGAGGTACGGTCAAATTACGAAAATTTCCATTATGTTTGGGGAATTACAACCACCCCTCAACTATAAATCTTCTTACACGTCCACCATAGCGGTTGCAAATCTAATGGAATCTTTGAGATTATATGAAATATTATCACTTTTGTACCCATTTTATCCCATTCGAACTCCACATTTTGAAGCAATATGATCATAATATGTGTTTTTTGGCTTGTATATATCAAATTGTGGTGCATCAGAAACTCTATTTTTATAAAAAAACGAGTACAAACTAGAGCACATTTTACGAAATCTAGATGATTATGTTGAATTTAACACCATAAGGATGGAGGTGTAAGAAAAAAAACATAATTAAGGGGGATAGATCTAATTATCCAAACAAGAGGGGTTTTTTAGTAAATTGACCATACCTCAGGGTGGTGGTAATTTACCTTATTTCAAATTTTGTTTGGTTTTCAATTAGGGTTTCTTTCTATCTGTGTTCAAATTTTTAAAAGATTTTCTTTAAACAAATACAAAATTATCTCTTATTCAATTTTTTTATCTAAAATTCTATTCGTGTTATTGCACATAGATTAAGAAAACAAATAGAATGCATGGACTACGTAAAAAAATAATTAATTACTAAAATATCGTTGGATCCAATTGCTTCTTAACATATTGTCTTTCAATTAAAATAAAGAATGATAAAGAAGGGTGAACTCCAAAACGTACTGTAGACGCATAAAATTAATTAATTGGTAAATTAAATTAGCCAATTAATTTGTGTCTAAATTAAATTATAATTTATCTTGTAAAATAATTTATGGAGATAATTATCAATTAATTATTGACCAATAGAATTATTTCTTATCTTCCAAGTTATAAGAGATAAATATTAATTTAAAGAGAGCCAATCAAATCGCGCCACGTCATCAAGCAGACTTTAAGTAGGACTCTTATTCTACCACTATAAATAGGGACCCTCCCTACACAATTCAAAACACAACTCAAGAAGGAGAAAATCCGTAGAGAAAATTCTCTCTACAATATTCAAGTCGTTCTTCAACAAATTCAAGGCGTTCTTCAACAAATTCAAGGCGTTCTTCAACAAATTCAAGGCGTTCTTCATCAAATCGAGGGCGTTCTTCATCAAATCGAGGGCGTTCTTCAACAAATCAAGATCGAAGGAAGATTGAAGGGCCAAATCCATCAAGAACTCCACGATCTTCAAGTCAAAACCCGTCAAAGTTTAGCGTTTGATCCGAGATTCAAGTCGCAAGACCCTTGGAAGACGTTATTCAAATCCAAATCAAATCCGGAGAAGATCAAGTCAACGACCCGACTCCGAAATTCAAAGTCAAACAAAAATTGTTCTTGATAGAAGAATCAGAGGATTAAATTAGAGTTTGTAATCCGCATATATTTTATTTTAATTCAATAAAATTATTTTTGTGCACATTTTTCTTGTTGGTCTAAATTCGCAGATAAGGATTTTGTTGCTACAAATTTTGGCACGCCCGGTGGGACATCTCTACCTCTCATCTCTTCTCTCTCTCGAAGATCATCAAAGTGTTGTTGGCTAAGAAGCTGCAAGCATCCTCAAAGACTAGCTCGACGCCCCAAACCGTTTGAAAAGGCTTACCACCTCTTGTCAACACAAGCGCAGACGTGGAAGGCTCAAAACAAGAGATTGCACAGCCCACGCCTCATTCAACAACAAGCTACTCAGAGATGACATATGTCATGACAACAAACGCCACAACCATGGAAGAGCAAATTGCAAGTTTGGCCAAGGCTATTGAGGGACTCACAAAGCATGTTCAACAACGAGATTCTCAAATTGCC